CACATAAGAAAAAAGAAAAAAGCCGGAAGTGGCGCTGTGGCTCAAGTGGTAGAGCGCTAGCCTTGAGCTGAAGAGCTGAGGGACAGCACCCAGGCCTAGAGTTCAGGCCCCACGACCGGACCCAAATATAAATAAATAAATAAATAAATTTGAGATTTGTAAGAGGATATATACATATGATGCTGTTATTAGAGATATTATTAGATATTAGATATTATTATTATCAGAGCCAGAGAAGTAGGATAAGAGTACCTGAAATTCCAACATTGACTTGCCCTTGTTAGATTCCAACATGAATCGGAAGGCACCAATTCCTGTATTGGGGTTGTCAGCTTCCTCCCTGTTTCCCTGGTAAGAGGAAAGGAAAAGACAAATAGATGTCCGATCAGAATTATCATCCTAGGCAGCACTATCCAACAGAAATAAAATGTGAGCCACATATTTAATTTCAAAATTTCCAGTTGCCACCTTAAAATAAAAATCAACAAGTAAATTTAATATATATTTTTATTTTTTTATTTTTTATTTTTTGCCAGTTGTGGGGCTTGAACTCTGAACCTGGGCACTGTCCCTCAGCTCTTCAAATCAAGGCTAGCACTTGAGCCACAGTGCCACTTCTGGCTTTTTCTGCTTATATGGTGCTAAGGAATCAAACCCAGGGCCTCATGCATGCAAGGCAAGGACTCTATTACTGAGCCACCTTCTCAGCCCCTAATAATGTATTTTATTTAAGTAGTATATTTTAATATTTTATGTAACCCAGCATATTTAAAATATTTTTCTTCATTATAGTAATTATAAACTTTTTTTTTGTTGGTCGTGGGGCCTGGGTGCCGTCCCTGCGCTCTTCAGCTAAACGTGAGTGCTCTACCCCTTGAGCCACAGCACCACTTCTGGTTTTCTAGTGGTTTATTAGAGATGAGAGTCTCACGGACTTTCCTACCAGGGCTGGCTTTGAACCATGATCCTCAGACTCAGCCTCCTGAGTAGCTAGGATTACAGGCGTGAGCCACTGGCACCCAGCAAATATTATTAATAAAATATTTTATGCTGGGCACCAATGTCTCACATCCAGCACAGCTATTAAAATCCATGACACTCTTATTTCCAATTAACCATCAAAAAGCTGGAAGTTTAGCTGTGGTTCAAATAATAGAGGGCCATCCTTGAGCCAAAGAAGCTAAGGGACAGTGCCCAGGCCCTGGGTTCAAGCTCCAGTTCTGGCACATGCGTGAGTGCATGCACATGCACACACACACACACACACACACACACACACACAAAAATGTGTGTACTAAAGTTTTGAGGTCTATTAGAGCACATGTCAGTGCATCATGCTAACCACATTTCTGTGTTGCTAGTGGCGATTCTATTAGTCATCACAGGCCTACAGGACATCACACATTTTATCTTGGCTCATAGAGAAAACACAAATCTGATTTTCCCTGTTTCACAATGAGGGAATACTGAACAAAAGGTACTCTGATTTAGCCAAGATAATAGTGAGTGCATTAGTTAAGCATTCAAGATTCTATTCCACTAACCAAAAGGACAACAGAACAATATACTTGAAAGGGAGCTGGTAAAAGCAAGCATGGGAAATTCTGAGTAGCTGAAGTCAGCCCAGGAGTCCAGTCTTTGAGACTCTGATCTCAAATTATCCACCAGAAAGCTGGAAGCAGATCTGTGGCTCAGAAGTAGAATGCTAACTTTGAGCAAAACCATTCATGGACAGCACCCAGGTCCTGAATTCCAGCCCCAGGACCAGCACACACCACACACCACACACCACACACAAACACACACACACACACACACACAGAGTGTTGATTAAGGCAAAGAAGAATGAGTTCTAAGCAACAAAGAGAAGCAACTTTGTGATTTTAAAAAGTGCAACATCTGGGCTGGGATGTAGCTCAGTGGCAAAGCGCTTGCCTAGCAAGTGCAACGTCCTGGGTTCGATCCCCAGTACCAAAAAAGAAAAGACAAAAAAAAAATACAGTTAAAAAGTGCAACATCTAATACACAAGGCAGATAAATGAATTGTATAATACATAATTACATGTTAGTACAAAGAGAAGAGAAACAGAAAATTGGGCTGACTTTATCACTCTGTCAATGAGTTTGTTGGGAAGTAGGATAAAGGCAATGTTAACTTGTGTGTGTGTGTGTGTGTGTGCGCGCGCGCGCACACACACGCGTGAGCACGCACACGTGCACAATTCCTGGGGCTTGAATTTAGGGCCTAAGCACTGTTCCTTTCTTTTTGTTTGTTTTTTTGTTTTGCCAGTCCTGGGGCTTGAACTCAGGGCCTGGGCACTGTCCCTGAGCTTCTTTTGCTGCAGGTTAGCACACTACCACTTGAGCCACAGCACTACTTCCTGCTTTTTCTGTGTATGTGGTACTGGGGAATCGAACCCAGGGCTTCATGCAAGGTAGGAAAGCTCTCTGCCACTAAGCCACATTCCCAGTCCCTGACCTTCTTTTTTTTTTTTTTTGCTCAAGGCTAGTGCTTTACCACTTGAGTCACATAAGCATCCAGTTAGAATTAAAGATTGCCACATAACATACACATACCAAAAAAAGTAAACCGGAAGTAAAAGAAAGTAAACCGGAAGAACAGAAATGTAGACAGACAAAAGAGTTCTGTTCCGATTCCCATTTCCTTACATTGAATGACGCCAGGGCCTCGGAGACACTCTTCTCAATGAACTCATCGGTGATTCTTCGGGAAGGATGCTCATTAAACACAGAGTTCATCAATGCAATTTTTGCAGCACTTCTCCGGGCCTCAGCTTTGGTGGGGCAAAACTAGGCAGGGGCAAGAGAAAGAGACATATGTGCATATGTCCATTTAGAAAGAGGAACAAACCATGGAAAGGAAACACTTGAGGTAGAAGACACTGACAAACAACAACGGCATGAACTGGTTGTGGTCAACACATTTTCCAAAGTTTTTATTGTAAGTAGCTGGAATGCTTGGAAGCGTAGCTTCGTTGTTTTGTGTTATTGTCTACAGGTCAGGTTTGTTTCCAACCCAACAAAGAACTGAAGGAAAGGACACAGGAGGATAGGCTAAGAAGCTGAGAGCTTAGCAAGAAGCAAAGTCCCCAACAGTTTACCCTTTGGTAACTGGCAGGTCAGTATAAATCCACAGCTGGAGCCATGGTGGACCACCTATCTTCTATGAGGCCTGAACAGTCTAGAGGAGATGTTTAAAGAATGTCAAATAAAAAAAACAACAAAGAATAGGAGTATAAGATTTATGAGTGGCACTGGCTGGAAGCTGAAGGAACAGACTCTCTGAGAAGAGGCCCTGGAGCAGAAGACTGACTATGTCTTCCAGGGTGTCTCCTTCCATCCTTTTAATCTTCTTCCCCTCCTGGAGTCTCAAGCATGGTTCAGTCTTCTGGGACTGGAAGGTGTAATGTTTATGTCTTCCCTTGAGCATCTTTGTTGTATTCCTCACTTCAGAGCTCAAGCAGGATGGCTCTGGTCCACAGGCCTCCGGACCCTCCACTTGGGAGCTGACCTTGACCTCTTTTCTTTCCCTGTGCTGCCTACACCATTTTAAATCTCCCTTATTTGTTTGTCTGTGACAGGGTCACTCATAGTCTGTAAACCCAGGTCAGCCTAGAATTCAAGATCCTTCCTCCTTCCTTATCCTCTCCTGTGTGTTTCCACTTTCCACTTGTTTGTGCTGGTCCTGGGGCTTGAACTCAGGGCCTGGGTGCTTTCCTTAATTTTCTTATCTTTCCTTTTTCTTTTCTTTTTCTCAAGCTAGTACTGACTCTACCACTTGAGCCATACCTTCACTTCCACTTTTTGGTAGTTAAAAGTCTCATAGGCCAGGCTGGCTTTAAATGACAATCCTCAGATCTCAGCCTCCTGAGTAGCTAGGATTACAGGCGTGAGCCCCAAACACCAGGCTTGGAAATGTAATTTTGATTCATTATCCTAAAGTCATTAAAGAACTGGACATGATGGAAGTGGCGCTGTAGCTCAAGTGGTAGAGCGCTAGCCTTGAGCTGAAGAGCTGAGGGACAGCGCCCAGGCCCAGAGTTCAAGCCCCACTACCGACAAAAAAATAAATAAATAAAAATAAATAAACCTGCCATCCACTACTAAAAAAAAAAAAAAAAGAACTGGACATGATTTGTAACACATACTAAATTGAATGCAGAATGAGGAAGCCTGCTGACATCAGCATATAATCATTAGATGTAAAAAACGCTTATGCTTCGGTTTAAACTGTCAACAGAACTGATCACTCAAAAGCCAGATTCTAGTTAGCATTTTAGAAATCAATCATGGCTTGGTTCTCTTGTTCTGCGGACAGGCAAGGTATTTTCCATTCCTCTAGGCAGTCAAGATTAGAACAAAGCTGTGTCTACGCTGCCTCTGCTAGGGATTTCTGAGATTCTTGGGCGTCACATTTAGCTGTGAATAGCATTTTCCCCAATAATACTGTGTACCTAAGGAGCTGTTCCTGAATAGAATCTAACACTAAAAACAAACATACAGTCTTTTAAAATTTCTTCCCAGTAGAAGCAAGAAAAAAGGCTGGATGCTTATGACTCATACCTGCAATCCTAGCTACTCAGGAGGCTGAGATCTGAGGGTGGTTGTGTTTTGTTTTCTGGTACTGGGGCTTGAAACTCAGAGCCTCAAGCTCCCCTTAGCATTTTAAGCAAAAATGCTAAGGAAGAGCTTGTGCCACAGCTCTTCTTTCAGGTTTCTGCTGGTTAATTGCAGATAAGAGTCTCTTGTGCCGGGCTCTGGTGGCTCACGCCTGCAATCCTAGCTACTCAGGAGGCTGAGATCTGAGGATCGCAATTCAAAGCCAGCCCTGGCAGGAGAGACCGTGAGACTCCTATCTCCAATAAACCACCAGAAAACTGGAAGTGGCGCTGTAGCTCAAGTGGTAGAGCTCTCACCTTCAGCTGAAGAGCTGAGGGACAGCGCCCAGGCCCAGAGTTCAAGCCCCACGACCGACAAAAAAAAAAAGTCTTGTATTTGTTTCCTAGGCTAGCTTCACATCATGAAGTAGCTAAGATTACAGACATAAGCCTGTAATACCAGCAAGGGTTTGAAATTTTGAAGGTTGAAAGAAAAATATGCAGGGGCTGGGAAGGTGGCTCAGTGGTAGAGCACTTGCCTTGCATGCCTGAGGCCCTGGGTTCGATTCCTCAGCACCACATAAGCAAAAAGAAAAAAGCCAGAAATGGCGCTGTGGCTCAAATGGTAGAGCGCTAGCCTTGAGCTGAAGAGCTGAGGGACAGCGCTCAGGCCCAGAGTTCAGTCCCCACAACCGGACCCAAAAAAAAAAAAGAAAGAAAAGTATGCAACTGAGATTATTTTGTAAGCTACTGAGCATCCGATGCTTGCCCAAATAATTTACTGGAATTGATTTAGTCCTGAAATATTCAAGTTGAAATTTAATGGCCAGCCAGGCACCGGTGGTCATGCCCATAATCTTAGCTACTGAAAAGGCTGAGATCTGAGGATCACGGTTCAAAGCAAGCCCAGGCAGGAAATTCTGGGAGACTCTTACTCCAATTAACCACCAGAAAACATGAAGTGGTGCTACGGCTCAAGTGGTAGAGTGCAAGTCTTAAGCTGAAGAGCTGAGGGACAGTGCCCAGGCCCAGAGTTCAAGACCCAGGACCGACAAAAAAAAGAAGAAGGAGAAGGAGAAGAAGAAGAGAAAGAAGAAGAAAAGAAAGTTAATGGCCAAAGTTATAACGTTCTTTATCTTTACCTTGCTGCCTCCACTCTCACCTGGAAACTCCCAAAGCAGCTTCCTCCAGGCAGGGTGACATAGCAGACATAGGGGGGACTGTTGGAAGGAACCATCTCATACACCACTAGAGCCCCATTCTTCAAGTCAGCCCCGCGGGATTGCTTCATCTGCCAGAATTCCTGGAGTGCCTCTACCACATTCACTATGAAAAGAGAAACAGTTACCATTGGCAGTGAGATCACCTCCGAGTGGTGCTGAATTTCAACGCGGTACTCACAATCCATACCTACATTTAGAGCTCCTTGGTTTCCTATCACCATTTGAAAACATTTGTTTTAATAAAACTAGACAGTGATTTAAGTCAGTTTACATTGGAAGGCCATGCTTGCCTTCCTCCAACCCTCGAATTCACATTGTGATTAGTCCAGACACTACACAGATACAGTAATTAATGAACTGCTTAGAGCCATGACAATCTGCTTCCTGTATGTGGAACTATGCAGTGGATATAAAGTTGGAAGAAAAAAAAAGATGGTGGGCACAGGTCGTTCAAACCTATAATCTTGGGCTGGGAACGTGGCTTAGTGGTAGAGTGTTTGCCTAGCATACATGAAGCCTTGGGTTTGATTCCTCAGTACCACATACACAGAAAAAGCTTGAAGTGGTGCTGTGGCTCAAGTAGTAGAGTGCTTGCCTTGAGCAAAGAAGCTCAGAGACAGTGCCCAGGCCCTGAGTTCAAGCCCTGAGTACTGTCAAAAATAAATAAATAAATAAACCCCAAACCCACAAACAAACAAAAACCCTATAATCCTAGCTACTCAGGAGGTTGTCAGTCAGCCAGGTTCCCAGAGCAGGTCATCTGATCTGTACATTTTAATTAAGCAAACATTTGAACTCCAGTAAGTACATCTATTCTAGTCACTAGGAATACAAAGAATAACACAGTCCTTGCGAGCAAGAGGCTCAAAATCTAGTGGCCCATAATAAGTTGTCTGGCCTGCTCAGTAGCTGAAACAAGGACCTCAGATACCAGCCAGAGTTTGCAAAGCAGCATAAGCTCTTTTCTAACATGCTATATTTAACTGACTTTTAAAGGATGGTCTTGAGAAAAGACAGCATGAAAAAGAAACTCTTTCCCACCCTCACTTTTGGCAATTGCTCCTGAAAGGTCACTACTGCCTGAATACTTTGCCATCTTTGTTCTTTCCATTGAGATCTTTTCAGCCCCAGTTCCCTCTTTGAGACAGTTTAGCACAATGCATTGGGTGACAGCCGTCCTGACATGCAAATAATAGGACAGTGGAATAAAGCAAAGGGGAAGATAACACATAAGAGAGAAGACCCTACCAGAAAGCTTACATCCATTCTATTTCAGTTAAATCTCTTTTGCATATAATATGAACTTTTTGTTTTGTTTTTGTTTTCTGAAATAGTCTATGTAGGCCAGGCTGGCCTAGAACTCAAAATCCTCCTGCCTCAGCCTCCCAAATGTTGGGGTCACAGGTGGGTGCTATCATACTCAGGATTATTTTTTTGGGGGTCCAGTTGTGGGGCCTGAACTCTGGGCCTGGGCTATGTCCCTCAGCTCTTCAGCTCAAGGCTAGCGCTCTACCACTTGAGCCACAGCACCACTTCCAGCTTTTTTCTTTTTGCTTATGTGGAGCTGAGGAATCGAACCCAGAGCCTCGAGCATGCAAGGCAAGCGCTCTACCACTGAGCCACCATCCCAGCCCCCATACTCAGGATTATTTAGTGATTATGCAACATCAAAGGAAATGGCCATCTTAGTATGACTTTTTTTTTTTTGGTTGGTTGTGGGGCTTGAACTCTGGGCTTGGGCACTGTCCCTGCGCTCTTCAGCTCAAGGCAAGCACTCTACTCCTTGAGCCACAGCACCACTTCAAGCCACAGTGCCACTTCCGGTTTTTCTAGTGGTTTATGGGAGATGAGAGTCTCATGGACTTTCCTGCCCGAGCTGGCTTTGAACCTCGATCCTCAGATCTCAGCCTCCTGAGTAGCTAGGATTACAGGTTTGAGCCACCGGTGCCCGCCTTTAGTATGATTTTTAGAGGTGGGGACACTTTAGAAATCAAGCTGTCCAGCTTATTCTAATGAAGAGCAAATGACTTGCTCCAGGTCACAAAGCCACAACAGAGCTGGAACATGAATCCTGACATTCCAAAGTCAGGATCCTTTCCAATTAGAAGTCATAACCATAGGTCTATGGTCCAATCTAAATTTGGGCTTGGTGAGGGCTCATAAGCCCCCTAAAACTGTTAAGGTGTTATGTGTATGTGTGCACATATGCATGTTCATACATGTGCTATGGATACCTATAGTTTCAGCTAGATTTTCAGTAAAGGATCATGAACATTATGGTTTATATAAGGAATAGAAATGTGGTAGACACTGGTGGCTCACGCCTGTAACACCAGCTACCTAAATGGCTGAGATCTGGGGATGAAGGTTCAAAGCCAGCCTGGGCAGGAAAGTCTGTAAGACTCATCTCCAATAAACCACCAGAAAACCGGAACTGGTGCTGTGGCTCAAGTGGCAGAGCACTGGCTTTGAGCTGAAGAGCAGCTCAGGGACAGCGCCCAGGCCCAAAGTACAAGCCCCACAACTGACAAAAATAAATTTAAAAAAAAAAAAGAATGTGGAGGGCTGGGAAGGTGGCTCAATGGTAGAGCGCTTGCCTTGCATGCCTGAGGCCCTGGGTTCGATTCCTCAGCACTACATAAGCAAAAAGAAAAAAGCCAGGAGTGGCGCTGTGGCTCAAGTGGTAGAGCACTAGCCTTGAGCTGAAGAGCTGAGGGACAGTGCCCAGGCCCAGAGTTCAGGCCCCACGACTGGACCCCAAAAAAAAAAATGTGGAAATATCCAATATATGTATTGGATGTTGCTTCATGGAAGACACTGACAGAGACAGCCTTAGATAAGGAAGACCAAGATAGTAAAGAACATATAAGTGCTTATTACACCAGGTTGAAAACACAAAAGAGAATACTTTGGGTCGGGTGCTGGGAATACTAACTACCAGGAAGCTGAGATCTGAGGACTGAGATTTGAAGTCAAGAATGTCTATGAGACTCTTATCTCTAATTAAGCAGCAAACAAAACAAACAAAAAAAAAAGAAATGTCAGAAGTAGAAGTGTGGCTCAAATGATGGAACACCAGACTGGAGAAAAAACAAAAAATCAAAATAAAGAAAAGCTAAGCCTGATAGAGTAAGAGGGAAACATATCAGTGACGGAGATGGGCAAGTGACTTCTTAGTTATACAAGCTTAGGGATTGCCAGATGCCAAGCACGAGAGGGAATCTAATTGCCATGTGGAAAAAAGAGGTAATGGTAACAATGCCAATTGTATGTACTGCTTTCAAAGCATTTCTAAATGTATAATAATAGCAACCGCCCATTGCTATTGTGAGTACTATGTATTACATGCTTTATATATATTTTTTTCTTTTCGGGTCCAGTCGTGGGGCCTAATTGGGCCTGGGCGCTGTCTCTCAGCTCTTCAGCTCAAGGCTAGAGCTCTACCACTTGAGCCACAGCACCACTTCCAGCTTTTTTCTTTTTGCTTATGTGGTGCTGAGGAATCGAACCCAGGGCCTCATGCATGCAAGGCAAGCGCTCTACCACTGAGCCACCTTCC